ATTTTTCTTTGTCCATTAGGTTATGTAAGTTTTGACCACAATATGGAAAATGTAATTTGTACTTTTATAACAACAATTTTGTTATATAACATTTAAAACAAAGATTTATTTTTTAATAAGTAATGACAGAGATTGGCCTTTGGCTTGGATCAAGTTTTGAATTGTCCCCCCGTGTGTAACTGAGTTTGACCCCCCTGGTTTATGTCATGGGCAGCGGCCCYCTCAGTGCAGAAAAACAGGTTTTAGAACAATTTCTSCTCCCATTTTGACAATTTCTTTTTTCTGGGAAAGCTTTGCTTAATTCAGCAAGACAATGTTAACCTACAGACCGAACTGATCTGCCTCTCAGCAGGTGAAAACATTTGACTCAGGACTGTTGTCTGCTTGTCACACATCAGTGTTTATGTCTACAGTGATRTGAAAAGTTAAAGACGTCCCACTCCGACAGTCTTTACGCAACATTTTTTTTTTACTGATGCAAGTGTTTGTAAAAACAGGAGCTTATCCTCACCAGTTTTTGATTAAAGGAAAGCTGCAGCGTGATAAGAAGGGCCTCTCTTCTTGACGGTTCTGTGGACGTCAGAGTTACACGACGGAGTGAGAAGCGTGCAGGCAGTGAGATTTGACTATGTCTACTTTGTATGTGCATGTGAAAGTGAGGCGAGATGGGGTGGGGGCAGGAGAAGAGACCTTATGGTGACTCAGCATAAACACGGTCTGCTGGGCCTGCGTGACCTCGTTCATCAAGCTGACACCCGGTTCTGTTTCTGCCCTGTGATTCAACAAGGAGAGGAGGAAAAACAAAACAGAGAGCCAAACAGAGGAAAAACAGCGGCTTGTGAGGAGGACCAGGATGATGAAAAGCACGGGGTGGGGGGATGTTGGGGAGAGAAATGCCACAAATGAGAAATAGAAGAAGTAAACAAATGTGTGAGTGAGATCACAAGCAGAGAGGCCTGGCTCAGATAGCGGGAGACACTGTGACAAAGTGAGGAGGAAGAGGAGGGGGAGGGAGGAAGGCCAGAGCCGCCTCACTTCGGTCACATCCAGTAAACACAGCAACAGCAGACACATCCATTCTGCTGAGTGCAAAAAAAAACAAAAAAAAAAAAAAAAACCTGACATGATTCAGCTATATTTAAACAGCAACTTGTTCTTCGTGCTGGCACCTCCTAACATGTCCCAACTCCCAGCCTGGCTTCCCTCACCTCGTCCTCCTCTGAACCTGTTGGACAAACGAAACCACGGAGCRTCTGTCGCTGCTGAAGAAGCTGCTCAAAGTCACAGAAACGTGGTCGAATATCACACAGGTCATCATGGTGTTGTCACTGTAAACACGTCTGCAGACTGGTGCCAGTATTTACTTTGAAACTGCACTGAAGCTGATCAGCTGAGCCTTCATTCAGACAATATACACACAAAAAGTAAGGACATTTGTGTTTGGTAGACTTTGTTGCAACAATGCTTCTTGGCAATAAATCATATACTGGTTTACACCTGATTGGAAGCACCTGGGTGCACCAGAAGCTCAAAACGTGTTAATATCAAACGCAAAATAAACTGTTTGGCAGAGATTTGGTTATTTTTTTTCTTATGCACAAYCCACACACTCAGCTCTACTGCTTATTACACAAATGCATGTTCCTTACAAATGTGGCACCATTTAAAAGGGAAATTAACAGACTTTCTGTGTAGGATTTGTTACAACAAAGAAATAATCTACCAAACACMAATGTCCTTACTTTTTGTGCCAAGTACAGTGTAATCATTGGCTTGATGTTCCTTGAAGTAATGCATATAACCCACCATGTTTCATGGCATAGTTTAGGACCAGGATTATGCTGAGAAATGACAGTTATAGTTGATTTGGTGAAACCTTAAAAATAATTGTGCATAATCTCATGCAATATTGTATCTGTGTTGCAAATGACTCAGCTACCAAAACTAATTATAGCTCAGTCWCTGTAATACCCACTAAGTTAGAGCTATTTTATGATAAATTTGATAAGCTGTGGTGGTCATCTTCCATTTGATTCAAGTAAACAGTTGTAGATGCACATCGAATGATTGCTTTTGGAAAGTCTCATTAAAATCCATCCAGACTAACAGTTAAAGCTGAGGTTTTAAGCAAAGATCTCACAATGAACAGCACTGAGTATGTGTTGTGTTTCAGCAGGCCCTAACCAATTTGGTGCCCWAGGCAACATTTCACATGGTGCCCSTTGTGCAACTTTCTAAATCTCACTGCCATTTTAAATAGTTTTGTCTTTGGTATTGTTTTTAATCTTTTAAAACAATATAATTCATTTGGAACAGAACTCCAGAAGTCTAACAGCTACCTGCCAACATTTGCTGACAGCAATGAGGAACACCTGCTCATGTTAACCAGCAGCTGTGGAGTGAAGCAGTTCTAGCGGGGTCCAGGGGTGTACGCCCCCAGAAAATGTTGTAAAAGATCTACTCAAAGATATGCATTTTCCAGCCAYTTAAGGAGTGTTTTACTAAATTCTTGGGATTATTAAAATAAACAATAAATTTATTTAAGAGAATGATAAAAGTTAGATTGTTGAAGAAATATGAATTTGTATAATTGCATTCATAAGAACTGTTGTTCGAGAAGGAGTTAAAGTTTTTTGTTATATTTTGTTATTTGAAGACTATTTTTGTTTCAACTTATTTTTTTTTTAAAAAAGGACAGATATTAATAAGAATATTTTTCTTCTTTCTGCTACCTTTCATTTTATTTGTGTTATTATTTGTTGTATGTATGGCATTTGTTTTTGTTTTTAAATTAAATGAATACATTTTAAATAAAATAAAATAAAAATAAATAAAACAACATAAAAGCTATAGTTTATGATGGTATTGAAAGAAAATATGAAAATTAGGCGTGTTCATTTACCTTAATATGTGTTCGTAAACACATAGAAAACACACCGATATTTGAATGTTTGAATGAGAAAAGAGTTACACAACAGCACTGGTCTGAACCACTTTTACTGTGTTCAGTAGGATTCAGGAAACAATGATACTCTTATAACCTTCTTCAGGACCTGACTCCGCCTATTTTCATTGCATCATCAAAACTGGYCAGCTTACGGCTACAGTTCAATTAAGTGTTGAAAGTGTGTTCAGGCATGCATCTTATATATACCTTTGTTTCTGTGTTGATAGGCACTCAGACCAGTCTGTACATAAAATCATCAATACAATCACAAAAATAATCACAAAATAAAGAGGCCATTTTTCACCTGAGAAGAGACTACAGAATGTGTGGTGGTTTTAAAAATCAGTAGTAAACAAACCCCAATAAATCCCTTCAGTAAAATACTTAAAACCAGACTTTAACACAGATCAGAACTGAAAATTTCATTATCCTTATTTTTTTTGTTTACACACTGAGAACCCGTAGTTAGTCTTGACTGCATCATTTAATACTTCTATCACAAAATACCCTTCCCTTCATAAACCTGAGTAATCAGTGATTATTCTACAAACTAAATTAACTATAATCTGATAAAAACTAATAAAATGTTTTTTTGTACCCCATTTGTGCTGCCCCCTAGATGGACAGTACCCTTAGCATTTGCCTAAACTGCCTATGCCACAAGCCAGCCCTGTGTTTCAGCTTCTATGACACCATATTTAATCGCATTGTGTAAAATTTAATATAACAATTTTTGTGTTTTCTAAGTTCAGCTGGTTATGGCGATCATTTGTGTTTGCTTCAAACATCCTGGTAGTTTCTATTAAAATCTGCGCAGTGATTCATGAGATATTYTGCATTCAGACAGACAGCAAAATGTTAAACAATACATTACTTGTTCCTAACCTTTCCACAAAGCCTCACTTAAAAAAAAAGAAATATCCTTTTAAACAAACAGGCCAGAAAAGCCTGGCTCCAGGTCAGAATGTAAACAATCCCAAGAACTGAAACTCCCTGAGCAGACGGGTTAAAGGGCAGTGTGTTCGTGTAATTAGGTGGAGAATAAGTGGTTTCATTAAAGTCTTAATGAAACAGTCCAACCAAACACAGCACAGGATCAGCGCCTCAACGCAGGGCTGTGTTTTAAACCATCACTGAATGGAGGAATTCGTACGCAGAGATGGATGTTTTTGTTTTCTTGTAACCTTGACTGCTTTGTCTTCTCGTGGCCTAAAGAGGAGTTTAGAAGCGACACGCGAAGAAGCTGATGCAAGCACAAGCATATGAGAGCGCTGCTGGGTAACTCAGGCAGCTAAGCTTGTTTAGCAAACTGTTGTTTCTTGAAGCTTTGAGCAACATGTCTTCAAACCTCGTATTATTATTATTTCCTTTCTGTAAACTAAAGTCCCAGCAGGAGAAGACGCAGCAGTGTGCAGCCTGAGGGAACTCCCAGCTCCCCTGGCAGGTGGTGGTGTTGTGGCTTGATAAAAAGCCCCCCCCCACCCCCAATCCCCATATGGTGGATCTGACAGCCTTGATAAGAAGCACATACAGAACTGCACCCAGTCACCTCTAAAGGTTTTTGACAGCATCCTCTGTGACGTCGTTCCAAACAGAAACACAAACATCAGGAGGTGGCTTTATGTACAAATTTTTATTTGTATGGATTGTTTGAATAGACTGTAAAAGACATTTTAATGAAGAAAAAAAAATTAAACAAACCCAGTCAAAGATATGTCAACGATCATATCAACAAAATCCACTGACTGGTGGGAAGAGATAAAAAAAAGTGTATGCAGCTTTGACTCTGCAAGTTAAAAGACGTCACTGCCATGACAAGTCAAGAAAACAACAAAAGCCATTTTAACTTAGTACCTTTTATAAATACCTACATATAAATATTGAAAATGTACTTCGACATCTCAAGGAGCTGTACACAGATGTTCTTTTGAGGGCAACAGTTTTTGACAATCTCAGTGAAAAACAAAAACAAAAAAATTTAAAACACTGGTGTTGAGCTCAGTGTCAGAAACCTTTCAAACATCGATGTACAAAGCTCCTGGTTCCCATGTTTCCCCACATACTGCTTCTGATCATCCATGTGAACTTAAAGCTTTCTGTACCCTACTTTAAGGCCTCGTTTTACAAATATTAAAAAAAAAAAAAAAAAAAAAAAAGAGTGTGCAGTCCTTGAACTCCAACAGTCTTTTATGAAAAATATTTAGTTTTGTCCTTTAGGTGGAGTTCCTCCTCGTATTCCTGGGTGGAGTTAGGATTTCTTTTYGAGGCAGAGCTCATCGTGGAGACAAACAGATGTACTGGGGATCCTGCTGATTTCCTCCACAGACACCATCCAAACTACTACAACTGATGATCCACCCAGCCCCACCCGTGTGTAAAAACATCAGGGTCCATCAGATCCAGTCCAGACCCCTCAGACTGGGAGGACAGTTATGTACCATGGACATGCGTAACTTCCTCTGACTGAGCTGAAAACATGCTAACATAGATAATAACTGCATGACAAACAATGACAAGGACATTAATACAATAATAAAATTAAAAATATTGATAATAAAAAAGTGAAGTGTCATCTTCTGGAAGCCCTTGGAAGCGACTGCATACTGTACGCTGTTTGGCTTCCCAACAGTCCTCCCACCCCGTTTTCCACTGAGCAAACAGCCCACACTGATGTATAGTGCAATAATGCCCCTCCCCCCACCTTTTTTTCCCTGAAATCTGCTGCTGATAACAGCAGTGTAACTTTGCAGGGAGTTTCACCATCTTCTGTCCAAAAGTCTGCAATCATTACTCCCTGAACTCCTCCTCTGTCTGCGTCCCCCCCGCCGCCACCGCCGCCTCACTAAATGCGCTCGGGCTGGATGTGCTGCTGGGGGGCGTAGTGCAGAAAGGCCGGGGCCTGGCCGGTGGCAGAGGGGAGGGTGGGGTGCACGGTGGCGGGGGCCGTGGCGGCGACGGCCGGGCCGGCCGTGGCGGCGGCGGGGCTGGTGGCGTAGCTGTAGTTCAGGAAGCTGGCCGGGGAGGCGGCGTACGGGTACTGCTGCTCGAAGGCGGCGTGGGCGTACTGCGCGTAGGCGGCGCTGTAGTCCAGGTACGGGCCGGCGCTGACCGACGCCGACACCTGAGTGGGCAGYACCAGGCTGGGCTGCACGAACGCCTGGGGGTACACGTACTGCTGGGCCAACCTGCACACAAGACCACCAGACGCTCAGAGAACCTGCATCCCACGAGGCGTGTGTGTGTGCTGGGAATATTAAACTCTCTGGAGGTACCGACTCACACACACACACAGGTGTTCCACACTTTTAAAATTAATTATTTACAGCAAGAACAAAGAGCTGAGGAGGTAAAGGTGACTCAGTCCTCCACGTGTGTCGGTTAGTGAAACCAACCAAACCTGTTAGGTGGGACCTCCTGCGTTAGACGAGAGGGAACAAGTGGAGGCGGGGGGGGCAGAGTCAGCCGTTACTGGCAGCTTTTTAAGCTCAGGCATCAACTGTGTTTTAACAGCTGCTGTTCTTCAGCCTCTTAACACACACACACACACACACACACACACACACGGAAGTGTGTGAAGGGAGGGCAGAAGTTGCAGTATTTTACTTCTCAGTTTATAACTCTGCTGTGGCACACACTCTCACAGGTGATGATAGAGGCTGGGGG